AATCGCAAGGCTTTAGCATCAGTCTTTTTGAGCGAAGTTAAATCATGTGTGTAAAAGATTATTATGATACCAATTTTGCAGAGAAAGTCTAGATCATTATTTGATCGATTGAAACAAAAAAGCTGTGTTGTTTGATCAATGGAACAAACTGAGAAAGAAGCTTTTGAAACTATATGAAATGGTATTTGCAGAATGCTACTAACATTAATTACTGTTGAGTTTTGTAGTAAAAATTCCTTTTGTTTTAGAAACCAATGTTTCCCAAAAAAGCAATCTCAGCAACTTTGTCACAATTAAAAGAAGATAGTATAAAAAATAATAGGTTTCTTCTCAAGAACTTTGACAAATATGGAGAAAAACTTTGATGCACATATGAAAAAACTTGTTAAGTGTTTTCTTGTGCAGTCAAAATAACTGAATACATTGTGAGATCAAGTAAGATCATATTATACAGACACCTGATTCATCACTGAAACTCCTACAGGAAGATGGTTCAACAGACAATTATCGTGAAAAGTATCCTATATGGTACAAAACACACTGTCATCCAAACACATACAGATAGAAGTAACAAAAAGACCTTTTCAGGAAAACATACCAACACGTTTGTACAGCTGTAAGTGAGAAGTTTGTACCTCATGTTTTCAACATAGGAACTGAGAAAAGTTTGAAACCAGTATGTATTACTGCAGATCAGTCTTACACTACAAGAAGTAAGCCAACACAAAATACAGTTACGCATATTTTCCAATTTTATAGAGATAAGATCAAAGGCATAATCCTTTGTCATCTCTGGGTTGATACAAAACCTTTCTTTGGTTCTGAAACCAAGGTTTTGAATCATGACCAATAATGGAGATGTAGCGTCCTGTTATATTTATTTATTTTTGTTTATTTCAGGTACTTATATAGCGTCGTCAATTTTACTATTTTATATGTAGTGCTTTTTACATATATAGTACATTCACATAAGTCCCTAACCCTCAAGAGGTGTATAATCTGAGGTCCCTAACTCACAGTCATACATACACATACTAGGGCCAATTTAGATAGGAGCCAATTCTCCTACCAACATGACTTTGGAGTGTGGAAGGAAAACCGGAGAGTACCCGAAGGAAACCCACGCAAGCACAGGGAGAACATACAAACTCCAGGCAGGTGATGCCATGGTTGGGATTTACATCAGCAACCCTAGTACTGTCAGGCAGAAGTGCTGCATTCTAAAAAGAACACTACAAGTCAATAAGAAGTGTTATAATCAAAATATGTCTTCCATGTCATAACTAGAAATGTTTGTGATTATGATATGTAATGTTAACAGATAAATGTAAGAGGATTAATCAATGTAAAATTATCAATGCCAAAAATAATGATACTGCAATTTTTCTGTTACAGGAAATGACCTAAGAGTAACTGTTAAAGGAAGAAAGTTCCAATATTTCTAAACCTTTCAGATGATAATACATTTTCCAAGAAGGAAATTTATTCTGGAAGAAGCTTTTGCAACAAGAATTTCATTCATCATTGTTTTTGTTGTTCTTTTTATGTTCAATAAAGTTATTTTAACTTTACAGAGTGCTAGAAGAAGAACAAGACATCTCAAGGCATCTCATAGAGGAAGAACTTATAAAACAATTGACTTTTGACTACTGATGAAATAATTCATTCATCGTCAGATATATTGGTTTTTTTTGTGTGTACATTTTATTTTGACATATGTTTACTATATCAAGATGATAATCAGTTTTCACATGAACATTTGCAATCACACACTATGTATTTTCAGAAGTGAAAGGGTTAAACTTTTGTTACAACAGAGTCACGCTAATTAGTTAGAACATCTGTTGTTAATTAAGCTAGAGATAAGTTTTATAAGGTACATATAGAAAATTTAGGCAAGCTTTACATTGTTATATGTATGTTTTAAAAAAAAAAATCATTTGATATACATGTATGGATTGAAGCTAGGGAACATATGTTATGTTTAAATGTTGATAAGGTATTTTGAAAAGATGTATGGATTATAGAACTATGTGCTACACACATTTTGGAGGGAAAATATGAAACATCTATTTTTTAAGTGACATATTTTAAAGTGTTGTACTATAATGTTACAGTTATACATTTATTAAGGGGATGAATTATTTGGTAAAAGGAAAATAATAAGGGTAAAAATAATTTTTATGTGATACATAACAAAAGGGTTTATCAAAGAATTTGTTTTCCCATTATAGAATCAAATTAAAGATATGTTCAGATCAATTATCTTAAGATCCAAAAACGCTTGAATGGATACGAAAGTGACGAGAATGTGTATAAATGGATTAAGATAAGGAAAATGATTAAGATTCGATAAAATCGATCATTTTGAGAGGGAAATGTTAGAAGCTTTCCTTAACCTAATACCTAATATCTTCTTATTAACAGTACTAACATAAATGAATGAGTTGGATCTTAATAGAATAATTGAGTTATTATATTTATATTTGTTCTAGATTGGGAAAAGTAAGTGATTAGACTTCATAGTTTGTGAATTTATATATGAACATATATCTTGGGTTTCCTTTACATTCAAGCCACATATGGTAGCAATTGGTCTACCATCCTCCCCCATCTATGTAAGAGATAAAGTTACACTCAGACTTTGAGAGAAGTAGGCTGGAGGGTTTGTTATATATATATACATCTGTTTCCAATTATCTTTGTGGGACTACAAGTATATCAGCCCATTTTGAGGAAAAGGTGGGGGCTGGATTGCTCATTTAAGAGTTGAAACAAAGACTTTTTATGCTCACTTTGCTTGAAGCCTTGAGAGACACACACACACACTACACACACATATACATATATACAATCTTATTATCAAGAACTTAACTATATTTTTTGGACATTATTTAACCATTTTGTATGCCAATATTTTATTTCTAATTTTATGCAACGTTATTATTAAATCATCTTTTTGAGTGAACTTCAGTGAGGAACAATTCCCTCCCTCCATGTGAGATCTCTGATGTCTGTAGAAATTGTTTTTGAAAAACATTTCTCGCACTCAGGACAGCAATACGGCTTCTCACTCGTGAGCAAACTCTGATGTGTAGAAAGAGAGGCCTTTTCTGAAAAACATTTCCCGCACTCAGGGCAGGAAAATGGCTTATCCCCCATGTGAGTTCTCTGATGTGAGACAAGCTCTGATCTCTGTGTAGCACTACCCCCTTTGGAGTCCCTAGATTTGGGTCCCCCTATAGCCCTGGCACAGCCAGGCATCACACATCTTCACACAAGCTTGCATCCAGAGTCAGAGATCAGTCCTTGAGCTTTGGTTTGGTTGTTTATTGAGGGGACTTGAACTGGGATGGGGATAGCAGGGTACAGGATGCCCAGGGAACTGATGAACTGAGGACAACTTCATAGAACTATTTACAAGCCTTTACTGCAGCACAATCTCTGTTGGAGAGCTGGCCAGTGTCTCCTCAATGTACCATCCCAGACTCTAGATGTCTCCTCGATGTACCAACCCAGACCCTAGAGGTCTCCTCGATGTATCACCCCAGACCCTAGAGGTCTCCTCGATGTACCACCCCAGACCCTAGGTGTCTCCTCGATGTACCACCCCAGACCCTAGAGGTCTCCTCGATGTACCACCCCAGACCCTAGGTGTCTCCTCGATGTACCACCCTAGGTGTCTCCTCGATGTACCACCCCAGACCCTAGGTGACTCCTCGATGTACCACCCCAGACCCTAGATGTTTCCTCAATGTACCACCCCAGACCCTAGATGTTTCCTCAATGTACCTCCCCCGAGCCCTAGATGTCTCCTCAATGTACAACCCCAGACCCTAAATGTCTCCTCAATGTACCACCCCAGACTCTAGCTGTCTCCACAATGTACCACCCCAGACCCTAGATGGACTTCTCCTCCTCACTCAGCAATCTGGAGGTATCCCTGAACAGGGGATCTGGTTCTGTTACTTTAAAAGTGGACAATCCCAAATAGGCAGCGAATCTGGTTTCCCACCAGAGTGCTCCTTCCCCTATCCGCCCAGGGGGGGTGCAGGGGTACTCACTCAGATTCTCTCCTGTACCGCTGGTGGCTGCTTCCAGGCCTTCTTAGCTAGGCCGCTCCTTCCCTGACATACAGGTGGTCCTCGTTCTGGGGACCAGTAAAATTCTGAGCTCCTCCCTTTCCAGCTCTAGACCTGCAATGAAGCCCCATCCCCCTGGGCCTTCTTGCAGCCTCTGGCCTTCAGCTGACATCTTCCTCCTGTCTTCCACCAAACTCTCCTGCAACTGAACAGGCTCCAACACTTATGGGTGTCCTGGCCCCTTTCCAACCCCCTGTTGGGGATTGGCCAGGATTCCTCAAGAGTACAAGCCAGCCACTCCTCAGATCCACACACTGCCTCTAGGGACCTTCCTCCAAAGCCCTAAAGCAGAGGGAATTTTCGAGGGGCTGGCAGCAGATCCTTTCAGCTCCTGACCACAATTTGACCTTCTGGCTATTACACCCAGGCGGCTACTCAGCCTTCCTGTCAATCAGGACTCTAGCTCCCCCTAGCTAAACTAGGAGAGTGCTACTTTTGTACAAAACATTTCCCGCACTCAAGGCACTAATACACCTCCAGGGTTGTGTGGGACCCCTGATGTCCAGGAAGACAGGATTCAGTGAGGAACATTTCCCTCAATCAGACCAGGAAAGTTCGTTCTCCTTCGTGTCCAATCTCAGATGACTGTAAGCAGAGGACTTCTGTGGGTTACACTTCCGCCAATCAGAACAGGAAAGCGGATCTGCCTCCGTTTGCAATCTCACATGTGCGTCAAGATCGGATTTAGTTTGAAAACATTTATCACATTTAGGACAGGAATACAGCTTCTTCCCCGTGTGCAATCTCTGATGATCGGAAAGAGAGAGAGCCCCTCTGTGAAAAACATTTCCCACACTCAGGACAGGAATACGGCTTCTCCCCCGTGTGAGATCTCTGATGTTTGTAAAGAATAATCTTCTGTGAAAAACATTTCCCGCACTCGGCACAGGAATACGGCTTCTCCCCTGTGTGTAACCTCTGATGTGTGGTAAGATTGGACTTCATTGAAAAACATTTCCCGCACTCAGCACAGGAATACGGCTTCTCCCCCGTGTGAGTCCTCTGATGTTTGTAAAGACTGATCTTCTGTGAAAAACATTTCCCGCACTCGGGACAGGAATACGGCTTCTCCCCCGTGTGCAATCTCTGATGTATGTAAAGACTGGACTTGTCTAAAAAACATTTCCCGCACTCTGAGCAGGAATGTGGCTTTTGCCCCGTGTGAGACCATTGGTGTCTGCCGAGAGTGGATTTCTTTGAAAAAAGTTTCCCGCACTCAGAACAAGAAAACGGTGTTTCCCCTGTGTGGGATCTCTGGTGTTTGACAAGGTCTGATTTTTGTACAAAACATTTCCCGCAGTCAGAACAGGAATGAAGCTTCACCCTTGTGTGAGATCGCTGATGAGTGTAAAGATTGGACTTATCTGAAAAACATTTCCCGCACTCAGGACAGGAAAACGGCTTCTCTCCAGTGTGACATCTCTGATGTATGGAAAGTTTCCACTTATATGAAAAACATTTCCCCACACACCGGACAGGAATGCGGCTTCTCACCTGTGTGAGATGTCTGATGTCGGGAAAGATTGGATTTTTTTGAAAAACATTTCCCACACTCAGGACAGGCATGTGGCTTCTCTCCCGTGTGAGATCTTTTGTGCTCATTAAGATTGAATTTAGAATGGAAACACTTCCCGCACTCAGTACAGGGAAACCTCCTATTTGTTGGAAGGTCGGCCCAGTCCCGCAAAGTCTGAGGTTCCTCAGGATACGAGGAATCCGATGGTCCATCTACACTGGGTGGTGCCGGATGGACATTGGAGGGAGCCGGATGGACATTGGAGGGAGCCGGGTTTTCTCCTGGACTATACTGTGTGATGTCCTCATCTTCTACTTTCCAGTCTGGAGACAAAGTGAGACAATCCTTGGAGGTTTTCCTTATCTCCCGGCCATGGACTAAAATACAAAAAAAAAAGAGGATTACTAGACAGGAGCTGATTGGTTCCCCCAAACCAGAAAGACAGAGAAAGATCCAATGAGAACTTTATCATCTGGACCAATCAGTGAGCAGTATGGGTGGAGGAATGGATTTAGTGTTCATGACCCACCTGTGCTGATCTCTGTAGGAGTGTCCTCCTCTATAAATGTCCCGGTTATTCCATCCTCCTCCATAGACTGCTGATCATCCCTCACATACGCCTCTTCTTCTGATTTCACCTCAACTTTTATATCTGTCAGATCTTCACCCTAAAATAGAAAATAAAATCTTGTAAGGTCTACAGATCTTCTCCATGATTTCACTCCATGTTCTAGATTCTCCGTCCCACCAACCTTATAACAGTGAGGGATGGTGTGACCTTCCTGTGTGGAATCCCGGGAATACAGAGGACGGGGACATCTCTCTGGTGGGTTCCTGGTATTAGGTGGCTCCATCATATCCTTGTGTCCTTCTGAAAATTCCTCCATCACTCCATACTCCTCATCCTCCTCTTTATACTCTTCTTTTGCGACAATATTATCATCCCCGAGGATTCCACTCTGAATATTCAAAAGGACATTCAATGTATTGTAACTCCATAGAGAAATAGACAGTGACACCCTGACACCTTATAGGAACCTGACACACACAATGATTCTTATTCTCTTCTTTAACAACAATATTATAATCTCTGAGGTTTTCACTCTAAATATATAATAAAATGTTTATTATAACAAGAAAGCTTAAGGAACAATCACTGATTGTTGTGATTTGTACACATCTACCTGATGGTGAGGGATGGTGTGACCTTCCTGTGTGGAATCCCGGGAATACAGAGGACGGAGACATCTCTCTGGTGGGTTCCCATGACTGGATCCATCTACCTGAAGATGGTGAGGGATGGTGTGACCTTCCTTTGTGGAATCCTGGGAATAAAGAGGACGGGGACATCTCTCTGCTGGGTTCTCATGACTGGATCCATCTACCTGATGATGGTGAGGGATGGTGTGACCTTCCTGTGTGGAATCCTGGGAATACAGAGGACGGGGACATCTCTCTGCTGGGTTCTCATGACTGAATCCATCTACCGGATGATGGTGAGGAATGGTGTGACCTTCCTGTGTGGAATCCCGGGAATACAGAGGACGGGGACATCTCTCTGGTGGGTTCCCATGACTGGATCCATCTGTAGGAAACACACACACTGACTGAATCCATTGTTTCTATGTGTTTATCGGATGATGGGGGATCTAGGTGGATCCTCCGTACTGCTCTCTCCTTTCCAATAAAGTCTCCTCTTACCCGGTGATGTAAGGGGCGGCTGATTGTCCATCATGACGTCCTTGTAGAGGTCCTTGTGTCCTTCTAAATACTCCCACTCCTCCATGGAGAAATAGACAGTGACACCCTGACACCTTATAGGAACCTGACACACACAATTTTTAATTGAAAAGATACTTTTATTGCAGAAGCATCAAAAACAACATGTTACTTGTAATCGGGGTACATCTCACCCTGTACTGCGACGCAGCGCACCACATAGCAATACAGTTCCAAGCATACGATAAATACATTCAGAAATAAATACATTCGCTCAGCGGTATGATGCCTGACGTGATGTGCACGGAGGATGAATCCCCCGGACCACCACGTCATGCATGACGCCGCTTACCCCAAAAACTGTAGCATCCTAATACAATATACATTTCCTAGTCACTATGTCATGCAGAAAAAACGATAAACTGAAAATCACGATCAACAATAGGCATCGGGTGTGTGGGGGGGAAGGGGAAGAAAGGGGGAAACACAGGCCCGAAGCTTTATTGAAGGGACAAAGACACGCAAGGGGGAGTAGGGGGAAGGGGAAATCTTCAGACGTCCTCTTCCTCCTTAAAGTCCAACAAGGAATAGTCTCTGAGCAGACTGAGGATCAGTCTGCGGCAGTCCTCAATGGACATCCTCTCCCGCTGGTGGATGAGGCGCTTCCTGGCGCACCATAAAGCGTCCTTAAAGCAACACAGCACCCTCCAGGCGCTGTCAATGTCCTCCAGAGAGAAAGTTCCACAGAACAGTCCATTCAACACCCCAAAGTGAGTGATGGCTGTCTGTGGTACAAAGTCTTTGAGTTCAGGTTCCAGGGCCCCCAACAGGGCCTGAGCAAATGAGCACTCCCAGAAAACGTGGTAAGACGTTTCCTCCCGTGGATGATGCAGAAGGGGCAGTGTCTGTATCTGCTCAGGTTCCTGGCATGCATAAATGTCCTGAGAGGCAATCCCCCCTGGATAGCCATCCATGCCAGGTCTTTATGCCTGTTGGTAAGAATGTTGGAAGAAACATTCCTCCAGACCACCTTGCAGGTGTCCGAAGGCAGGCCTGGAACCGACTCCATGATGTCGCTTGCTCTGATCAACTTGTAAATGGTCTTTGGCTTCCACAAGTCAGGCTTGACTCCCTGCAGCCCCTGCTCCCTGATGAACTTGAAGGTATCCAAGTAAAACCAAGGAGTGTCCCAGTTGTAGGGGATGGAACTATCCCAGGTGTCCCACCCCAGGGACCTCCAGAGAGGCAACAGGAAGAAGCGAGACATTGCGTTCCCGCCAGAGTCCATAATCCGTTTGGGCAAAGTTCTGCGGATGCAGTTGCAAGCAAAGAACACCCTCAGCTGGGTGGCGATGTCGGGCACGCCCTTACCGCCCTTGAGGGGTTCCTTGAACATGACTGCCCGCTTCACTCTGTCCATCTTGGAGCCCCAGATGAAGTGAAAACACCGCCCTGGTGATGGCCTTACAGGTGTTGACCCGTGGGGGCCAGGCCTGGGCGAGGTACTGCAACACAGGGAGAATCTCGCTGCGGAGTACCAGTGTCTTCCCTTCGATGGAGATCCTTGTGTCCTTCTAAATACTCCCACTCCTCCATGGAGAAATAGACAGTGACACCCTGACACCTTATAGGAACCTGACACACACAATGATACAGTCACCATCCAGACACATCCCTTGTCTGTCACTGGAGAATGTCCCAGAATTCCCGGCACCGCTCACCTCTCCTGTCAGCAGATGGACCATCATGGTGGTCAGTTCCAGGATCTTTTGCTCTTTGTTCCTCTCAGGTATCGGAGAACGAGGGGGAGGCACCATGGTGGGGCTCTGGGTCCTGCTCCATCCTCCTGAGATTGGCTCCCCACTAGACTTCTTCACTACAACATAATCCTACAGATCAGGAGAAAGAGAAACCAATATCAATCATCTGACATCATCTACATGTCTACAAGAAGAACATGGTCTATTGGCCAGACTAGACCAGAGTGATGTCATGTGACCTCCCAGAATCCTCCTCACCTCTCCGGTCAGGTATGTGTTTTATTAATAAATATAAGAGTGATGTCATGTGACCTCCCAGAATCCTCCTCACCTCTCCGGTCAGGTCTGTGTGATGTCATTTGACCTCCCAGAATCCTCCTCACCTCTCCGGTCAGCTCTGTGTTTTATTAACAGAGACAAGAGTGATTTCATGTGACCTCCCAGAATCCTCCTCACCTTTCCGGTCAGGTTTGTGTGATGTCATGTGACCTCCCAGAATCCTCCTCACCTCTCAGGTCTGTGTGATGTCATGTGACCTCCCAGAATCCTCCTCACCTCTCCGGTCAGCAGGTAGATGATCTCCAGGGTGAGGTTTAGTATCCTCTCAGTCATGTGACTCTGGTCCTCCTCCATCCTCAGTCGTGCCGTCGTTTAATCTACACAGGTAAGGGTGATAATTGATAAAGAAGGTGTTTATATGAGAATGTTCTGCCCCTGAAGGGGTTAATCTGGGTTCCCACACTATATATGTGTGTATCATCATCTGCTGGAGATAAAAGACGTCACAGTGACTATGGAGGAAGAAGACGGACATGACGATGGAGGAAGAGGACGGACGTGACGGTGGAGGAAGAGGACGGACGTGACGGTGGAGGAAGAGGACGGGCGTGACGGTGGAGGAAGAGGACGGGCGTGACGGTGGAGGAAGAGGACGGGCGTGACGGTGGAGGAAGAGGACGGGCGTGACGGTGGAGGAAGAGGGCGTGGAGGAAGAGGACGGACGTGACGGTGGAGGAAGAGGACGGACATGACGGTGGAGGAAGAGGATGAACATGACGGGGGGGGTTACTGGGTGTAAATATAAAATCAGATCTTATTACCTCCTCTGCTGCCACTT